GGTCAGGGCTGCGGCTGGGAGCGGGGCCTGCTGCATGGGTCGGGGTTGGTCGAACGCACCGCCAACTCCTCTGGCCCTGGGGGAGAGCCCAGCAGGCTCCATTCAACCCCAGAGACACAAGCCTGGCTTGCGTGAGGAAGGGGTGTAGCCTGCCTTAGGCTCAGTCTGCACGGGGGTTCCGGACTGACCTCCCTATAGGTTGTAGCGCCTGGTGGATTGACTGGGATTCCTCAAGAGATTTTGGTTCCATTCCTGGCTGTGTCACAGACTTTCTGTGTGACCACGATCAAGTCACTAAGGCTGTGTCCAGACTCAGGGGTTTTTTCGGGAAAAGTAGCCTTTTTCCGAAAAAACTTCCCCTGCGTCCAGACTCAAGCCGCGTTCTTTCGAAATTAATTCGAAAGAACGTGGCTTTTCTTTTGATGGTGGTAAACCTCAATTTACGAGGAAGAATGCCTTCTTTCGAAAGTTCCTCTTTCGAAAGAAGGCGTTCTTCAATGTAAATAGGGCTTCTTCGAAAGAGAGCATCCAGACTCACTGGATGCTTTCTTTCGAAAAAGCAAGCTGCTTTTTCGAAAGTTCAACGTGCAGTCTAGACGCTCTCTTTCGAAAGAGGCTTGCAGTCTAGACATAGCCTAAGAGTGGGACAGGCAGCTCAGACAAAGACCGTTTACTCATGTCAAAAACTGCAGTGGTTTTCAAAAGTGCAATTAACAACAGAGCAGTTCCTGATTTGGTTAGTAGAGGGAAACTTCCAAGAAGAAAGTGCCCTTCAGATCCGCTATCTGGGGAGCTCCCTCTGGTCATTTAATCTAGTAAAGGCAATAAGGTACCAAGGTACTTAAGGTAAAGTACCTTAACATAAATAAAATTGGTCCTACCTGCTGAGCTTTCAGTTCCACAGGCAAGGGGCTCCACCCTGATGCACCAGAGTAGCAGCTCTCGCTAGTCTGCTGCTCCTCACATGGACACCACCTAAGCCACATCTCTAAGAGGCAAAAATAAGTGGGCACACCCTTCCAGCAGGGAGCTATTTAAAGAACTGGCAGGGACTCAGGTTTGAATAGAACAGTAGCCGTAAAAACAAATGTAGATCCTTTGCACACCTCACTAGGGATGTGAAGGACTGGTCGACTATCCCATAAGCAAATGCTTATGGGATAGTCGACTAGATGCTTCCCCCCCCCCCACTTGCTGCCTCTATCAGAAAGAGGCAGCAAAGGGGGAGTATAAAAGGGGGTACTTCAAAGCAGCTTCAGGCCGGACTTAGAGCTCCACATTGCGCTGCCTCTTTGAAATGCTGAGTGCAGCCCCGGGCCAGCTGGGAAGTCCCCAGCTGATCCCGGGCTCCATGTGCCACTGCCAATTTGAAATGCTGAGGGGAACCTGGTGTCAGACTCCTCGCAAGGTTTTAAAGTGGCAGCAGTGCCTGGAGCCCAAGATCAACTGAGGACTACCCCGCTGACCCCAGGCTCCATGCGGCACTGCCACTTTGAAAACGCCATGAGGAGCCCTATGGCTGTTGCTACACTTCAAAGGTGGAGGCGCCCTATCGACTAATTGAATTACTCAATTAATCAATATTTAACATCCTTACACTTCACATGTCCTATTTACATATGTGTCCTATAGCTGCCCTTCCCAAAAGCAAAGAGTCTTTCCTTTGGACTCAACTTCCTGTCAGATCTACTGACTTTTTCCCTAAGTAAATCCTTTTTTATCTGGATCATCTTGTCTGCCATAATTTATTAAAAGTCACTGACTCTTTAGGTATCTGATAGGCAACCTCAGTGCTCTTGGATAGTTCTGCAGCAAGACAAAATAAAGTTGTATATTATGTTTTATGAAAATAATTTAGTTTTTAAAAATAAGTGAGTCTTTATCAGCCCTCTTCCCCTTTCTTTTAATATAAAATAAAGTCTTGTTATGAACATATATTTCATTTGCATATTTGCTTGGCACTATACAAGTATAAAACTTGATAAAAATATTCAACCATATGAACAAATTCCACATTGTATTTTATCTAGTATCAAGAAGCCACAATGAACTGAACAACTGTGGAATGTTTATCTCATGTCAAATAAAGTACTGGTAGCAGTACAATGAAAGGGTTCCGATGTTATTTAGTTGAAGTTGTTATTCCAAACTCTTCCTCACTATGGCAGAAATATAAATATTAACTAGTGGTTGTTCTATAAATATTTGTGTTGTGTGTTTTTACAGCATCTAGCACAATAGAGACCTAATCCTTCTGTAGTGCTATGGTAATAAAAATAAATGTCTTTCTCTCCTGGCTCCCTCTAGTGGATTTTTCTTTAATCAGATGTATCAGTATTCAAGAATTGGAGTTTCTTGCTCTCTGGCTACATCTACACTGCGCTTTCTTGCCCAAGAACATATGCAAATGACGCGCAGTGATGAATATCACTGTGCCTCATTTGCATACTTAATGAGCCGCCATTTTGCACAAGGGGCTTTTGCGCAAGAAGGAGCAGTCTACACTGCTCCTTTCACAAAAACTCCCTCTTGTGCAAGAGCCGTTCTGCCGCTTATTTTCAGGCAGAACAGCTCTTACACAAGAGGGGGAGTTTGTGCAAGAAGGAGCAGTGTAGATGTAGCCCCTTTGTGTAGCTTTCTCTGTAAGAACGAGAATGCCCAGGTGCTTTATCAGCAATGCTAAATTGATTTTTAATATAATATTGAATATCTGCATTGCATCTGTCAAGGCTGATTCCCCACTCTGGCATGATGAATGAAGAAGTGGGGGCCCACAAAAGTACCCCAAAACCTTATCTTTCCAGGCTTTGGTATAAAACTTCCCCCCAAAATCCTAAAAACCTAGATTTTGGGAATAAAAATCTGCTGCCACCATCAAGTGCTTTTGAACACAGAAACAGGGATGGACACTTGAAACCAACCCCAGGGCACCCGAAGCTCTTTTCTCTAAAGAGCTTGAAAAAGAGAGAAAAAAATATAAACTGCAGTCTGTGGTTGCTGCCTTCTAGTTAGAGGCATGCAGATATCCACAGACAGATTTTCCAGGACACAGAACTGAACCAATAGCAGGTTAATAAAAAAGAAAGAACTTTTATTATCAAAACAATACTCCTGTTTCAAGCATATTGACTAGATGGAAAAGTCACCAATTAATATACTCATGGGGGACTCCCATGGGCCAAAACTTAGTTACAAAGGAGATGAAACCCCATTTCTAAATGCGCAGACATCAGATTCCCATTCCCAAACCATAATAAAACCTAACCGATTTATCTAGACTTTGCCCTACTTACAGATGGAGAGAAGTCTTTTCTTGGAGAGGGACATGTTGTCTGTCTCCTTCAGAATCTGGAGAGTCAACTGCCCAGGGACAAAGGAAGGAAACCCAAAAATTCCTTTGTCTCAGTTTGAAAATCTCTATCTGCATTTCTATTGGCTGAATGCTACCTGGCTAGGTATAGTTAACCTCTTAGTCCCCAGGCTGCTGGCTAACCTTCATGGTTATGACAGCACCATTGGCAAACAGCCTTCTGAAATCTCTCAGTTGGTATTTGCAAAACCCCTTTTCTAGTGGAAATGTGTTGCATCCAAAACAAAAATAACCCTCCCCAACCTCCTCCCAACATACATTTAAAGAAAAATATAGTTGTAAAGTGAAATGCTCAAAAGTTAGGAAAAATCAAGTTTCCCGTGCAGTCTTAATTCAGCCCTTTGTATATATTCATGATTATGCAGTTATTAATTTCAGTGACCATAGCCTATTATTTCCACCAGAACTATTCCTCTTTCAGCGCTATTCAATGCTGTTTTATCCTCTTTATTCAACATGTGGCTCCAGGCCAGGGGTGGACAAGAGGTTGCCAACAGGACAGATCCAGCCTACCAAGCCACCAGATCCTGTCCGCAGCCACCTTGCCAGGACCCTTAGACAGAGAACAGCTCACACTTTAAAAAGCCAGCTGTTCTCCCTCCCCACTGCCATCTGGATGGGAGAAGGGAGAATTCTCATGCTGTTCCCGCCCTCCAGCAAAATTTCTTAGCTCCCGTTGGCCAGTGTCTCAGTTTCCAGCCAAAAGTAGCTAAGAATTTTTGCTGGGAGCATGGGAAATGTAGAAAGCCTTCTCCCTTCCTTCTCACGCCCAAAGCAGAGCCATGTGGAATAGCCTGCAGCAGACAGTCTCCCAGTTTTCTGCTGGTCAGCGCCTTCCAGTCAGAGCCTCCCTGGAACCCCAGCCCCTCCCTTTCCCTCCCCTCTGCCCTCCTCCACATACCCAAACACTCTGCCCCCTCCCCCATCCATCCCCCCTCCCAGATCTGGCACTCCAATCTCCTGCCCCAGATCACAAACCCCTCCTAACCTAGGTCACATT